AAATTTTTTTGGTTTTTTTTTTTTTTTTTTTTGTACTGGGGATCGAACTTGAGACCTTGTGCTTGTGAGGCAGGTGGTGGAACCACTGAGCTAAATCCCTGGCCCTGTTTTGGTCTTGTTCTTATTGGTTATAATACTTCGATCAGAAGATCCATTTAGATTCTGGGGATGTAGCTTAGTGGTAGAGTGCTTGCATAGCATGTGCAAGGACCTGGGTTCCATCCTCAGCACTGCAAAAAATGTCCTTTAAGGTAATAGACCTGAACTCAGACATCAAATTCATATATGTGGCAGTAAGGCAGGTGCAAATGGATTAATATAACTCATGTTTCCTGAAACACTGGTCATGAATTAGAGTTGTGTTCTTTAAAAGCATCAGAAAAGTTTGCTTTTAAAAAATTCCATTAGTTTGTTCAATAATGTGCCCCTAGTTTATTTGTAAATCCAAACATACTGATATCACACTTTCATAAAGCATAGTACACTACCTACAGTTTTCTTAAGCATTATACAATGTTCAAAAAAGCATAGTGCATGTTTTTATTGTAACTAAATATTTTATCAACAATATCCTAAAGCTAAGGCCCAAAGTAAATAAATTTTCACTGTTGGGGATTAAACCTAGGGTTTAGTGCATGCTAGACTATTAAGCTACTGGCCCCATCCCACCATGACTCTTTTTAATAGAAAAATTTATAAAGTTGATCGGGACAATGAGTGATACTGACCAAGAAAGAGAGCTTTAGCAGCACCTCATGTTCTCTACAGTACAGATTTTTGTGATGTGCCACTGATGGTTTTATACATGTTCAATTTTAACATATATAAAAATATAGGGAAAAAAGAAATGGGAATGAGGTAATTACAAATGAAATCATAGGCTAGGTCCAGTGTCACACTCCTGTAATCTTACTTGTTTGTAACTGAGGAAAGAGGATCCCAAGTTTAAGTTGCCCTGCATAATTTAGTGAATCCCTTGGGGGGATAAAGCATTGAAAGAAAAAAATAATAGAGCTTTTGCAAATGGGAAAGAGATCAATAGTTGGAAGGAGCAAGGAGGGATGGCGGGTAGGGGATGAAAAAAGAATTAAGGTATGTTATGAACATGTACTACCTCCACATGATGAATGTAATAATTATGTACTAACATGTACATGTACTAATAAAAATGTACTAGTGAAAGAAGAGGAGAAAGAAAGGAAGAAAAAGAGAAGAAAGAAAGTGAATAAATTCCTCTTGGAGCTGACCATTGTCTATGTAACAGAATCTTTGAATTAAGAAGAATTAGAATTCCTGCTCAGCCAGCCCCCAGAGTGAACACTTGGCTCAGCTGAATATTGCTCACTTGTGCCCACTACCGCTTTCTGCTTCTAAGATAGAGTACACTAAAGCCAAAGGCACAAGCTCCTTCCAAGACAGTCTTCTAACAAGAATGTGGACATATCTTTCTGTCTAGAGAACTGAATTTGGACCATCTAAAAAGATGGTCCTATTTGCAGTTGCTCCCTAGGCCTTGAGTAAAACCAAAGCCAGCATTTTATTAGTATCCACTCCTCTGGGCTTCGCCCTGGATCCTTTAAGTTCTCCAGGGCCAAACATGCCTCCCCAAGAAGGTACTCACAATAACAAAATTAAATTTGAGCAAGAGGAGAGGAAAAATACTCTAAGCCCACAGGCTCCCAAAAGTTTAAAGTTCCTCTTGTCTTATGTTTCGTGATTTCTTCACTCCCAGGAGGGGCTGAGGTAGATTTGGAAGGGGCTGGTGCCAATATACTCCATACTGATTTCTTCTAGCTATTGCTGAAACACCTTAGCCAGGCTTGTGCACAATGTAGAGATATGTCCTGGACAAGAATCCCTGCCTCCATATTTGTGAGCCCTCTTCTCCCACCTTTTCCAGTGTTCTAGGTATGGATTTTCCCATTTCAACTGATATTCACATTTTTACTGAGTATCCTTATTTCTTGTCCACTTATGCACATATATTAGCAAAAGTCATTGGTACATCAGAAAGCCCTAAAAACCAGTTTCCTCCATTTGCTGAAGTGCGGCTCCCTAATTGCATCTCT